AATTCAGTTAGAGCCCTGATTTTGCTGCCTGTTTTCTCAGCCTAGGAAAGTACCAAGATGCCTTTTGTCTGGTATCACGTGGAAATGAAATGATCCCTCATCTTATCTGGAAATAGTTCAAAATGGCTGAGGTTTCCAGGTGGACGTGGCATGCTAAAACTTTGTAGGCACACAATGCTCTCTTTGCAGTCAGTTTTGTGCTGCATTTCATCTCTTTCAAGGTTATTTAATGGTGCTCTGCCCAGTAACTCCACTAAAGTTAGTGCAGACTCTGTCTCTTAGACCTTGTGTTATAATATTCCTGATTAGTTTCTTTTTCACACTTTATCACGCAGAAAGAAAAATCTCTCTTGGTCCCTTAAAGATAAGGAAGAGAGTCATCTTCGATTTTTTATTGTTATTTTGTTTTTATTTTGAATTTCTGCTTTATTGCTAGGAATGGGTAGGTTTTTCCACACTTTTACATATGACCCTGGTGAGTGTACATTGTGTGCATGTAACTTGATCCTGCAATCATAAAAACTTTCTTTAGTTTTTTTCTGTTGATAAATAAAGTTAGGCTTCTATTTATTTTTTAAGTGTTAATACATGTTTAAAAGTTATTCTTTTATCATGTACTGATAGCAGGAGAAAAATAATGAAAACATATCTCAAAGATTCTAGGAGTTTTAGTAACATTTTAAATTATAGAACAAAGTTGTGGTTCTTTGGAATTCTTTTGTTAAGTGAAATTTATCTAAAACAGCAATAACTCTCAAAAGCCTAAATTATACAGTTGGCTTGTGAGAACTCAGTTTAGTTCAGCTAACAATTATTGAATGTCCTACAAAATGAAAGTCGCTGGATTATAACTAATTTAAACCAGTAATGTGTAAAAAACGAAATGGATTAAAAAAGGAAAAAATTCCAATGAGGCTCAGTGCATCTTTAATCTCTGATCAGTCACAATACTTAAAGACAATTATAAACTTATGCAGCTAGCCTTTCTTCTGTTCCTCAATCAGAACTCTCATCTACTTTAAAATTTTTTAGAATTTAATTAGATGCCATACTCCCGCACATATCACAGTCCAAATACCGAAAGTTTCAGCCCATTATGAGTGTTAAGTAGAGATTAATAAGGGAGAATGGGAAGAGTCAAAGGAAAACAGTGTATTAGCATTTAAAAGAAAGGATCATAAACTTAAAAAAAAGGGTAGATTCAACCAGTATAGTAAACAAAATACAACAACAACAGCAATAACATTATTATTATTATTTCAGTGAATATTTATTTAGGGCCTGCTGTGAGCCAGGGTCTTCTACGGATGCATCACAGACAAAACATCATTGCCTATGTGGTGCTTGCATTCTACTGGGAGGAGAGTGAGACATTAACAATAAACATATTAGTATTATATCAGTAGCTTACCTGGAATGTTAAAAGGTGTAAGTGCTGTAGAAAAAAAAAATAGAGCAGGACAAGAGGGAGCAGGAATGGTAGGGTTTTAAGTGGAATGATCTTATGGACAAGGTGTCTGAGCCAGGGTTTGACGGAGAAGGGGGAGTGTGCCTGTGGATATCTGTAGTGGGAGCTTTCCTGGAAGAAAGGACAACGTGCAAAAGCCCTACGGTGGGAGTGGGCCTGGAGAGTTCGAGGCGAAGAGGAGGCTGGAGTGGTTGGAGCGGAATGAGCGAGTGGGGGACCACAGCAGGCAGACGGCGCTGGGCCTTGTGGCCATCTAGGGGAGTGATGTGAAGAGCCTTTGCACTGGCAAAGGAGCTTCCTGATCGGAGTGGACATTTTAGCAACATCACTCTGCTTCCTCTGTTGAGAATGATGTTTCAAGGGCAAAGCTGGAAGGACGGAGACCTGTTGGGAATTTATCGCAGTAATCCTGGTGGAGATGATGGTGCCTTGGCCCAGGGTGGTAGTGGTGGTGGAGGAGCTGGAGAGAGTGGTCATATCCCGGACACGTTCTGAAGGTGGGCCTAACAGAATTTCCTGAGGCATCAGATACGGAGTGTGAAGGAAAGGGAGCAGCCAACCAGTGCTGCAGGAGGAAAACCGAAAGTGGGGGTCCTGGAAGCAGCAGGGGAGAGTGAGCATCTGCACTGGAAGCTGCTGATTGGTCTGGTACAGTGGAGGCTGAGAACTGACCGATGGTTTTAGCGAGAGAAGGTCATAGAGGACCTCGATTCACGGCGACTGTGATGAGAGAGCAGTTTCAGTGGAAGGGCGGGGACCTGATTCTCATGGGTTTAGTTAAGTGTGAATGAGAGGACCTGCAGACAGTGAACATGGACTCCCGGAGGAGTTTTGCCACAGAGGAGCAGACAGATGAAATGATGGCTAAGGGAGAGTGGGGTCGAGAGAGGTTTGTTTTCAGATGGGAGAATTAACAGTGCGGATGTGTACTGATGGCAGTGGTCGGGTGTGTGTGTGAAGAGGATGGTGCAGAAGAGAAAGGAGCAGAACGTCCTTGAGTAGATGCCAAGGGCTGGGATCTAGCGGGCGAGTGAAGGGATTGGCTCCAGGTCCGAGCAAGGGTCGTCCGTCTGTGCCGACAGGTTGGTAGAGCGCTTTGGTAGGTTGTTAGATGAGGAGCGGGAAACAAAGTCTCAGCTGAGAGTGAGGATGGGGAAGGAGGTGTGAGACGTTTGGGGAAGAAGGAGAAGCGGTGAAGTTGCCGCCTGGGGAGAGGGAGAGGGCAGTATGGTGTGACTACTGGGCAGCACTGAGGGCCCATGGCGGGTGCTGGTGAGACTGGCCAGCACCACTGGAGTTTTTTCTCCAGCCACAGTCAGCAGCGTGTGTGGGATGAAGTATGCGGAGAGTAGTCACGAAGTGCCGGGCCAGTGCCACAGAAGGGGCAGGTGCAAGGGAATGTTGGTAATAATAGGTCATGGAACTTAAGATGGATAAGGATGAAAGGAAGAATATCACAGGGGCGAAGGATGGTGAAAAGCTGGCAGAATTGAGGGCTTGGAGTTGCCGATGAGCTCAAAGGATTGTTGGAGTTGGGGCCCGAGAGGGAGTGAACGTAATGGAGATACACGAAATCGAGATTGTGGAGGAGTTGCAGTTGTTAGTACTGACGAGGTCTGGAGCATGACCATGACAGCGAGCGATCGAGGCAGGGCAGACGAGAAGTGCATTGGAGAAGAGGAATTAAGGAAACTGAGAGGCGGGAGGTTGGAAGGTTCATCGAAATTGCCAAGAATTAGACAGGAGTTGTATTGGAGAGAGTGACAGTGGGGAAGAAGCTAAAATCTTTGAGAAATGGTGGGAATGACAGAGACAGGTAATAACAGCGACAGCCAGGGTGGTCTGATGTCGTGAGATCCAAAGCTAGAACATTTCAGGGACAAAGAGGGTGGACCATGGTCTGGAGGTAGCAGTGAGGAGTGAGGAACCAGGGCTGCAAGAAGAGACAGCAAAGCAGCCACTTGAGAGGGCCGCAGTGGGAGCAGTGTTGTCAGAGGAGGGCCAGGGCTCAGTGAGAGCAGAAGGGCAAAGCCTGAACACCAGAGAGGGTACTGGGCATGCAGGGGTTTGCTGATGGTGCACCATGGATTTCACCCTCAGTGGAAGGGTTTCAGGAGTTAAGGTGAGGTCGGAGATGAGAGAAATTGAGGGATGTGCAGAGTCATATGGGAATCAGAGAAATGAGAGGGACTGAGAGTAGGGAGTGCATGTGCATTTGTGCTCTTATGCATGTGTGCATGTGCACACACGCACACGTGTGCACATGTATGCATGCACGCACACACGTGCACATGTATGCATGCACACACATGTACATGTGTGCTTGTGTGCGCGCGTGTCTGTGCGCATGTGTATGTGTGTTGACTGACATAAGCAGGGACAAAGGGCACAATGAGATGAAGCCTGGTGAACTTGAGCTCAGTGGTGGTGGCAAGGCTGCGACCATTGGGCACAGGGAGGAGTGAGTGTCTGGGCTTACGCTCATCCCCGTCCATTGGGGTGAGGAGGTCTGGGGACATGTGAGCTCAGTCCTTGTGTGCAGAGCTAACACTTGACCTCAGAGTTGAGGACGTCTGCTGAAGCTGAGGGGGAGGAAGGCAGAGAGAGGCATAGTGTCGGTGTGGGACACCCTCTTGCCCAGAGGGGAAGGGAGAAATACTCTGAGTGATCAAATCTTCCCCTTGACTCCTGCCCAGTTGATAAGAGTATTAGCCGACACTTCTATGTGTTTACACTGTGCCAACTGGCACGGGTGGGGAACCCGAGGCCTCAGGCCCTCCAGATCCCTGAGTGCGGCCCCTTGACTCAATCCAAACTTCACAGAACACATCCCTTTATTGTCCCTTTATTGAAAGGATTTTTTCTGTAAAGTTTGAATTCAGACAAAAGGCCACACTCAAGGATCCAGAAGGCCGCATGTGGCCCCAAGGCTGCAGGTTCCCCACCCCGCTCTAATCACACAAGGATGCTTGCTACTCAGGGTCACACAGCTGCTCCGTAACAGAAACAGGATCTGAATCCAGGTCTGTCTGACTAATTGCAGCTCATGTACAGTTCATTCAGTGGCAGTATATTGTCCATGATGAATTTTCGTGATAAACATTAAGACTAAACTGCAGTGACTGCGCCTTTTAAAACATCTTCAGATGTTCTGGGCTTACCTTTAACTACTACATGGCTTTGGCTTAGACTCCAAGTCCTTTTGGGTTAGGAATACTTCTTGTTCTTCACAATTCTTTGCATAGTACTGTCAAGCCGGTGTGAGGTATTAATTCTTCTGTCAATAAAAATATTAAAAACCATTGTCTCTTGTAAGCTAACCTGTGGCTTTTTAAAAAAAATCTTCTATCAACTTGCTATTTCTAAAATACTACTTGGCCGAACATCTAAAATTTAGCCTAAGTCCTAGAGAGTTTGTAAGCTTGTGAAACATGTGCACATACCCACAGTGACAGACCTTTGAAGCTTTGACAAGTTCAAAAGGTTTCTGGGGCTTCTCATTTTACAACTGCTGTTGTCCTTTCTCTGATAGCCGAGCAGGAAGACACTCAGAAGAAAACCTTCACCTGCTGGATAAACTCACAGTTGGCAAAGGTGAGGAAAAAAAGAGCAAAGTAAGTTATAAATGTATGTTACTCCCTCAGTTTTGGCCCCAAGGAGGACATTAAAAAATGGCACCACAGGCTGGGCGTGGTGGCTCATGCCTGTAATCCTAGCACTCTGGGAGGCTGAGGTGGGAGGGTCACTTGAGCTCAGGAGTTCAAGACCAGCCTGAGCAAGAGTGAGACCCCATCTCTATTTATGGAAAAAAAAAGAAAAAATGGCACCAGTGACATGTAAAAAGCTGTGGAATGTCTTTATTTGAAAGAATTTGCTGAAATCACCTTGGTCTTGCTTTGATGTATTTGTTTTTTTTTTTTGTTTGTTTGTTTTTGAGACAGAGTCTCACTCTGTTGCCCAGGCTAGAGTGCTGTGGCATCAGCCTAGCTCACAGCAACCTCAAACTCCTGGGCTCCAGCGATCTTCCTGCCTCAGCCTCCCAGGTAACTGGGACTACAGGCATGTGCCACCATGCCCAACTAATTTTTCTGTATATATTTTTAGTTGTCTAGCTAATTTCTTTCTATTTTTAGTAGAGATAGGGTCTCGCTCTTGCTCAGGCTGGTCTCGAGCTCCTGAGCTCAAACGATCCACCCACCTCGGCCTCCCAGAGAGCTAGGATTACAGGTGTGAGCCACCATGCCCGGCTGCTTTGATATATTTGTTATTCTTTCTCTCAACACATGAGAAGGGTACTTTTGTCAAGGATATGGGAAAATGCTATAAAAATATTTAAGATTAGTAACATTTTTCATTAAATGAAATAATAGTAATAATGATCTTTGTATAATGAGTGTTGTGTTAAGACACTGTCCTAAACTCTTTAAATGCAATGATTATGACTACTCATGACACTGAAATGACATCACAACATTCCTATGAGAGAGATAGTGTTATTCCTGTTTAAAGGTCAAGGAAACTAAGGTACAGAGAAGTTATGTGATTTGCCCATGGTCACACAGCTTGTAAGTGATAGTGCTGGGATACAAACCCAGGCAGTCTGGACCCAGAGGCCTTGATTGCAATCACTGTGCCATCCTACCTCAGTGATACCAAGTACCTAGGATAACCCAGATACACGACGAATGAGCCTTTTCTTACAGGCCACTCCCCTGTTCCTTGTCTATCCATCCCAACACAATGCTTCTAATTCTAAGAAAGGGTAAATTCATAAGCAAGTTGCTCCAGAAATGTAATCTGCTCTCCAAATGGGTCACTATCAGTTGATTCTGAATGTCTTTAATGCCACATTTATACACAGGTTTTTAAGTGCTCAGTGAAAGCTCCATGCAGAAAGTGTTTTGTTTCTGGAAATTTGCCATGAGATAAATTAAATTCATTACTTTTTTTTAAAATCATGATTTGATATGAATCTTTGCATGTTCTCTGTCATTCTTAATTAAGACAAAAATCATTACCAAATCTTAGCTTTCTCAAAGACACAAAGCACATTTATGAGATTCTTAAAGGTATTGTGATTTTGGACCAAGGTTTGATTATTTTTCTCGTGACCTCTTACAGCACTCTCCTCCTTCAGTTATATCAGACCTATTTACGGACATTAAACAGGGTCATGTCCTCCTGGACCTGTTAGAAGTACTTTCAGGACAACAGTTGGTAAGATTTTTAAATGACACCAAGAAACTTTCTGTTGATTTTTTAAAAATGTATTTCATATTTCTTAATAATCTATTTACTTGCATTTCATAGCCTCGGGATAAAGGAACTAATACATTCCAGTGTAGAATCAATATAGGACATGCCCTGACATTCCTAAAAAACCGATCAGTGAGTATAAATTTCACTTGAAGATTCATAGGAGAGATAAATGCTATGGAATATTTTCTCCTTTCAACCTGCATTTCTTTTTTTCCAGATCAAGCTAATAAATATTCATGTTGCTGATATTGTAGATGGAAACCCATCCATTATTCTTGGCCTAATTTGGACAATTATACTGCACTTTCATGTAAGTAGTTTGATGATACGAAAATTATTTCTACTCTAATTACTGCAGTATGAAGTAAGTGCAATGCAGTAAGTGTGACTTGATGCTGGTTTCAGCCCCGAGCTACTTCCACAAATAGGACCTCTGGAAATCTTGAACAGGCGGGAAATATATAGCCAACCTTGTGCCATTTTTGTTGTTTTTTAATTGAAAGTTGAATGCCACATTATCACGATACCCTGAATTATCCACAATATCAGCACTAGTCTGAACAGAGCCTGCCGTGATAAACGTTTGCTTATTACTGTTTGTTTACTATGGCAGAGGACAGAGTAGGAAGCTTCTGGAGTAAATTCTTGGAATCTAACCCATTAAACTTTGTGAAGTCTCCCTATTTTTGACGACTCCTGTACAATCTGACTCTGAATAATCCTGTAACATCCAGTTCTATCCTGTGACTGGCTCGTAGATTCATTTCATTCCACAGATATTTTTGAACCCTTACTATCTGCTGGCTATTGTCCTGACAGTGAGACATACGATTGATAAATAGGCTCTTTCAGGCCTGGGATTCTGACTTAGTGCAGGTTTTCTGTGCTACCTAAAAAGTTGCATTTTCTGTATCTCCATAGTTACTTTAAAAACACCTTGAAAAATTACATGCTTAAACTTCAAAAATTTTATGCTTTGTAACTTTAAAAATTATCTAGTTTGTCTAAAATAAAATGCTTATTTTAGACAAACTAGAAAATAGCATAACTAATATATATAAAGTTTAAAACATGTAAAACCAGACCATATATTATTTCTAGATACATGCATTTGTAGTTACAATAGACTAATATGCACGAGGTTGATGATAACTAAATTTAGTGGTTTTTTTTTTCTGGGAAAGTAAGGAATGGAATTGGAGAGGGAAAGACAGGAGGCTTAAACTGTTATCTGTGTTTTATTTCTTTAAGAAAATCTGAACCAAATATGGTAAAATGTTAAAATTTGATAATTCATAGGTACTTATTTTTTCCATATTTTTCTGGGTATTTGAAATATAATTAAAAATTTTAATATAGATGATTAAAACATGATCACCCATAATCTATCACTCACAGTTAACCACTATAAATAACTGGATATACAGTCTTTATGGTATATACAGCAAGAACTAGTATATATTCATGTAGGTATATTTGTAACAAAATGGGGTCATGTTATCCATACTGTTTTCAATCTGTTCTAATGAACCTCTTCCCGAATTTATATGTATTTTATTTTATTTATTTATTTTTTTTGAGACAGAGTCTCACTCTGTTGCCCGGGCTAGAGTGCCATGGCGTCAGCCTAGCTCACAGCAACCTCAAGCTCCTGAGCTCAAGCCATCCTCCTGCCTCAGCCTTCTGGGTAGCTGGGACCACCGTGCCTGGCCAATTTTTTTTTCTACTTTTACTTGTTTGGCTAATTTCTTTCTATTTATGGTAGAGACGGGTTCTCGCTCTTGCTCAGGCTGGTCTCGAACTCTTGAGCTCAAGCAATCCACCCGCCTCGGCCTCCCAGAGTGCTAGGATTACAGGCGTGAGCCACCATGCCCGGCCTGAATTTATATGTATTTTAATGGAGGCATGGTGTTTGTTGTAAAGTACTATATTTCACTAATGGATAATGGGAAAGCTCATGATTATTTCTGAGGAGGTGCCCCAAGCCTAGTAATGCTGCAATGCTTGCAGACTCCTGGTGGTACCACGTTGGTGGACTTGGGTAAAATACAGGAGATTTCCCTGGGTTACCAGGCAAAGTCTCTCACTCTCTTCCCTCACTTTCCCCCAAACAGGAGTCTCTCTGGGCTGGGCTTCCTGGAGTTGGGGAAGGAGTGATATGAGCATTCCCTTGTGGCCACCACAGCTGGGACTGTGCTGGGTCACACCTGAAGCCAGCCCAGTCTCACCCAAGGCTCATGTGACTGCTGCCTGGCTACCACTGATGAGGCTATCAAATGATAGCTTCTGATGAGTGCCTATCAGATTAATGCCAATCAAATCAAGTTTGTTAACTGCATTGGTCATATCTATTATTATTGATTGGTCATTCTGTCAATTGAGAGAAATGTATTAAATACTTCTACTGTGTTTATGGATTTGTCTTTTAAAGTTTTGGATGGATATTATCATATTGCCCTCCAAAAAATCTGAGGCAGTTTGTACATTTACCAGCAGTATAAAAATATCTAGTTTCTTATAATTTCACCATCACTGGATGTTATTTTTAAAAAATTTTTTTGCCTGTGTAATATTATAAAAACTATCCCTTTGCACTCATTTAGATTTCTTAAATTATGAGTGTGGTTATTTTTCATATATTTAGTGACAATTTTATTTTCTTTCTTGGGACTTGTCTCTCCATGTGTTTGACTATTTTTTCTTCTGTGTGTACCCTTGTTCTTCAGGAGTGCATTTCAATTGATCCAGTCTCTGAAGATACTCTAGACTAGATGCTCTATTTAGTTCAGTCCAGTTTGGTTTGACGGGTGTTGAGCTCCAGTGAAGTGCTCTGTAAGCACGGTAGGGGGATGAATAGATGCTTGTCCTCAATGTGAGATGGCACATCTGGGTGAGGGTAAGGAGTGACCCAAGTCCAGACTGAAAGAAAGCCAAAGGCAGCCCAGATGCTGTTACTCAGAGATGCAGCCCAGTGCTCATTTCACCAGGACTAGCCTGTGACTGTCATAGGATACTTTTACATCTTGTTTTGGCCCAATGCTGGTAACGTGTGATTCTGTGCATGTTAACTCTTATTATATCTTCCTTAGATTGAGGAGCTTGCCCAGACTCTCTCTTGCCATTACAATCAGCCTTCCCTGGATGATGTGAGTGTGGTTGATTCATCTCCTACCTCAAGTCCTCCAGCTAAGAAATGCTCCAAAGCTCGGGCAAGATGGCAGATGTCTGCGAAGAATGCTCTTCTTTTGTGGGCTCAGGAACAATGTGCCACGTGAGTAGTTTGCTATGACCATAAGAGACACACAGAGCAGCTGTCTCCATCAATACAACTTCACTGACTTCCCACCCAAATAGCTCCCTCTCATAAAAGGAAAATTCTCACTATTCCCCTTCTCAGTGAATCTCCCAAATGTGAAGGGCCAAGGACATCCATGAGTTCACTGATTTTTGGTTTTGAAGGCCAGGAGGTGGTATGATCTGGGTAAACTAACTCACATGCTGTGTTTAGGTGGTCTGTTACTACGTAGAAATAAAGTGTTATTTAAATATCCTTTTCTTTAGGCACAGTTCCCTTATTCATCTGGAAGGTGGATTTAGATTTTAAAGGTTTTGCCACAGTATGAACTTTCTAAAAGACAGGACTATATCTTAATTGACTATATAATTCCAGGACCTAGCATAATGTGAATTCATGGTGAGTGCTCTATAAATGTATCAAAGGAATGAATGAGCAAATGAGTGAATGAGTAACCAATACATAAAATTCTCTCTTGGAACTATATATGATTACATTAAGAGAACACAGTCCCCATTGTTTAGAAACTCAGCTCAATTAGCAAACAGAGACAAGAAAATATGCATTTTAAAAAAGTGGGGATGATGAAGGGAAGTTAGTGCTCATAATTTCTTTTTTACAAAGAAAAATATTTTCTGCTCTTGAGACATTTACGTTTCCATTTTAACCAATGGCCGAGATGGAGTTTAGGAAGAATAAGGAATTTAGATGCAGGAGATCTCTCCCCTCCAAGAGCTGTAGAGTTCAAAGGGCAATTCCTTGTCACATCATAGCATCGTCTAGGTAAATAGGACCATGAATGTGTTGCTAAGCCCTTTCCACTGCAGGATTTCTGAGTAAGCCCTTTCTAATGAAAGGCTGAGATAGAGGTTAATTTCTGCCTTCAACCTTACCTTTCTTTAGTTGTCATTTATTTACTATATTTTATGAGAGCCACAAACATACATAACCTTATATATAGGTTTAAAGTATATTAAATGAATTTTTTCTTAAATCTCCTAACAATAATTTTACTTCAGTTTTCTAAACTTTTTTTTTTGGCTATATACTTTTTTTAAATTTCAAGCTACTGGCCATTGATGTGGCACAATATATCATTCAATTTGTCCCAATGAGAAAGAAAACTGTTTCCTCTAGTCAAGGACCATACCTGTATGTAGACATCTAAAGTCAGTCTTGAGCCAACAGACTGTTGCATGAAGAGTATCAGGCTTGAGTGAGTATTGTTATCATCAGGAGGCCTTTTAAAGAAACAGATTTCAGACCCACCTCCAAATTTGATCCAGTAGGTATGGGGCGGGGCTGAGAATGTGCATTTCTAACACCTGCCGCCCAGGTGAAGCTGATGCAGCTGGTGAAGGAACCACATTTTGAGAACTAGCATTCTGTGGTATTTTCAGTTTCACCTAACTTGGTATTTTACTTTAATTTGACCACAAGATTAAAATAAAATTTTTACGTAGAATGATTTAAATCTTTGATTTGATTCACTGAATTTTGTTTTAATTACATTGAATATAATGGAAGTGTCTTTTTTTTCCTCCTTTATAAAGGCAATATATTTATTCATTATAGAAAATTTAGAAAACATAGAAAAAACAAAAACGACAAAAATTACTCATAACCAAAAACATCCCAATTTCCAGTAAAAAATTTCAACATATTTTATTTGATATATTCCCACATAATTAAGACCCTACTGTATGCACAAGTGTGATCTTTTTAAAACTAAAATGTCCTCACAATTAAAAACAGTCTGTAAGCCTTGGTTTAAAATAAGATTTTAAAATTAAAATTTTTAAAGTGAACATTTTTGAAGATTTGAAAAATAGAGATGACTCAAAATCTTGAGATGATTACTGTTGACATTTCAGTACGTCCTGTTCTTCTGCTATTGAAATATACATAGATTTGAGGGACTATTTCTATATGTGCAGTTGACCTTTGAACAACATGGGTTTGAACAGCACGGGCCCACTGGCAGATAGACAAAACAGTATTCGCGCTCTCCCATATACCGCAGGGCTGACTGTGGCACTTGAAAATGGGCGGATCTTGATACACGCAGGTGGGTCCTAGAACCAATTCCCCGCGTATACTAAGGGATGACTGTATTTTAAAAACTGTAATCGTTTACAACAGTATTTATGGCCCACCTTTTAATTATGCACTTCAAAAATATTATAAATAATTTTATATTCTTTTTAAAAGTATACATTTTAAAATACTTGGTATTCACACGTGTCCGACACGTTTAACCAATCACCTCCAAAACTTGTTCTGAAATTTACACGCTCACCAAATCGGCTTTAGTGTCTTATCCTTCCACAGCAGTGCGCAGTGATAATTAAGAACGAACAAGCAAAACGCTTGAGAACCCAGCAGGTAAAATGTCTCCCGGGCCTGAACCTTTCTTTTCCCGCCTCACGCTAAGCTGTGGGCGCTGGCGGCGAAAATCTGACCTGGGCGGAAGGACGGCGCACAGGGCGGGGCCGACTGGTCACTGTGTGCGCGGAGAGAGCGCCCCCCGAAGTGTCTTGATATATTATTTTTAATAGTGTTTACCATGTATTTGTCCTTTTGTGATAGGCATGAGTCTGTCAGTGTGACAGATTTTAAGTCGAGCTGGAGAAATGGGATGGCTTTTTTGGCCGTCATTCATGCCTTGCGACCAGACCTAATTGACATGAGGACTATGAAGCATAGATCCAACAAAGACAATCTGGAAGAGGCCTTCAGAATTGCAGAACAAGAATTAAAAATCCCTAAAATGCTGGAACCAGAAGGTAAAGAAGCTTCTTTCTTTTTAAAACAATTTTTATCGTAAGGTGCGGCATGAAGTTGATTTGAAAATAGTATCTAGGCTGGGTGCGGTGGTGTAATCCTAGCGCTTTGGGAGGCCGAGGCGGGAGGATTACTTGAGCTCAGGAGTTCGAGACCAGCCTGAGCAAGAGCGAGACCCCCCCCTGTCTCTACTAAAAATAGGAAAAATTATCTGGGGGTCGTGGTACGGACCTATAGTCCCAGCTCCTCAGGAGGCTGAGGCAGTAGGATGCTTGAGCCCAGGAATTTGAGGTTGCTGCGAACTAGGATGATGCCGCGGCACTGTAGCCCAGGCAACAGAGCAAGACTCTGCCTCAAAAAAAAAAGAAAGAAAACAAAAGAAAATAGTATTTATGTGTAAGCAAATATAACAGCATTATATTTTAGTCCTGGAGGTTTTATAGCTCTTAAACTCTTTATTGAATTTTGTAAAATCAAGAATTCCTTCCAATTTGTTAACGTCGATAATTATGGGGGAAGCTACAGCTGAAAGCAAACGGTGTTATTGGAAATAATTTGAGCCTTTGTCTTAATTTTCTTCTATTGTTTTCTATATTGTGTTCTTGCTTTTGTTATTCTGCTCTAAATCTCTTGTGTAAGATGTTTCTTTGAGTCTTGAATTAAAGTTGTTTATGTCTTCCCTTCCCTACCCCCTCCTAGTTAAAGGTGAACCTCTATGAGAACAGAAACTGCTGCTTTCCCTATTTTTCCCTATGGTTGGCCAGGCTTTGTCCATTGATTCTGCTCCGACAGTCATGTTGGATTGTTTGCAACAAAATCTTAAGTCCTATTTATATTTACAGAGATCATCATCAAATTAGAATTTATTCTAATTTCATAAAATTAAAAGAATTTAATTCTTTCTCAAAAGCACTTTACTTTGGATTATATTGTTTCATAATGTAAACAAAGCTATTAGAAAATTAAGATCATAAAAGAGGTATATAGGATTAGAGAAAATTATAATGAACTAACAGACCAAGTACATATAAATTCTGCTCTCACCTGTATAACCAGGTCTGTGTATATCAATGTTTAATGATTGGCTGTCCAAAACAATGTGAAACATACACATTTATACATGTTACTATAAATTTTACTGATAGAAAAGGATGTGCAGTGTACAATTTACAAATAGTAATAAAATTTATAATAAGCTTTATTATAAATTCCATTTGGCCCCAAAATGCTTTTGCTAATTTTTTTACAAACGCTTGAATCCATCTGTAACCAACTTAGGGTTGTAGCTACTGATCAAGTATAGTTCTGACATGAATGTTGGGTTATAATTTTCTTTATGTTATTGAGTGAGTGGAACAGTGAAGAGGTATATCAGATCTTCACTTGTTCTTCAGTGACATGTATGACTCCTTTGCTGAACTGAAGACTGGAAGAATATTTCCTCAACTTTTATGCTCTTCACAATTTAACAGCTATAGATATGCAGATAAATCTTAGAAGTATATTCTTTGTTGGCAATTTCTTCATCCCCTTTTTAGCAACCAACAAACAACAAAATCAAGGCCTCATTTGCAGATTTCTGTGGTGTAAATGCTACTAATGTGACTGATTTCACGCTATCAATGTGAAGTCATTGAACACAGAATTGGAAAAAGATGTGCAGTAGCATACGCTTGTATGGTATTTCCAGTATACAGATAAAATAGACATAAGTAACCTCAAGAGCATAGATAATAGTAAAATACAGTAAAATAATTGGGAAGTGAAGAGTTTTGAATATTCATTACCTTTGCTTTTAATACAACTTAATTGTACACACATATAATTTAATTTACAATGATGACTTTTTAACAAGCAGCTTACAAAACTGCTGAACATTTAGCCATCAGCTCTCTTAAGCTGGTGTGAGCCAACTGGCTCCAGAACACCACTGAGCAAGTGACTGGATTCATCACTTAACATTTTTGGTTTTCAGTAGCTTTATTGAGATATAATTCACATACTCTGCAATTTACCCAACTAAATGTATAACTTGTGGTTTTCAGTACACAGGCAGCCCTCCATATTCGTGGGTGCCACATCTGTGGAGTTAATCAGCCACCGAACAAAAATATTTGGGGAAAAAAAATTGCATCTGTACTAAACATGTACAGACTTTCTTTTCTTGCCATTATTCCCTAAATAATACAGTATAACAACTATTTATATAGCATTTTGATTGTATTCGGTATTATAAGTAATGTAGACATGAGTCCTGGAACTAGTCCCCTGTGTATACTGAGGAGCAACTGTATTCACAAAATTGCACAATCATCACAATCAATTTTAAAACATTTTCATCATCCTGAAAAGAAACCTGTGACTGTTAGCAATCACTCCCCATTTTCCCCTAAACTCCCTAGTCCCCACTACTTTCTGTCTTTATAGATTTGCCCCTTCTGAACATTTCACATAAATGGAATCATACAGTGTATACGGTCTTTTGTGATTGGCTTCTTTAACTTAATATAACATCTCCAAGGTTCATCCATTTTGTAGCATGTATCAATATTTCATTGCTTTTTTAATTTTTAAATAAACTTTATTTTTTAGAACAGTTTTAGATTTGCAGAAAAATTGAGCAGATAGTGCAGTAAGTTCCCATATACCCTGCACTCAGTTTTCCTTATTGTTAAATCTTATATTAGTATGCTACATTTATTTCATTGCTTTTTTAATTTTTAAATAAACTTTATTTTTTAGAACAGTTTTAGATTTGCAGAAAAATTGAGCAGATAATGCAGTAAGTTCCCATATACCCTGCACTCAGTTTTCCTTATTGTTAAATCTTATATTAGTATGCTACATTTATTTCAGTTAATAAACCAATATTGGCATATTATTATAAATAAAAGCTGTGCTTTATTCAGATTTCCACAGTTTTTTTACCTAAGAACCGTTTGCTCTTTTAAGATTCTATCTAGTATACCATATTACATTTACTTGGTGTGTCTCCTTAGTCTAGCCTTGACTGTGACAGTTTCTCAGACTTTTTCGTCTTGTATGACCTTGACAGTTTCGAGGATTACTGGTTAGGTATTTTGTAGGATGCCCTTTTATTGAAATTTGTCTTTTTTTTTTTTTCTGTTGACTAGACTGGATTTATGGGCTCTTGGGGGGAAGCCAACAGAGGTAAAGTGTCATTCTCATCACATCGTTTCAAGGGTGTGCACTAACAGTGTGACTTATCACTGTTGAGGCTGACCTTGACCACCTGGCTGAGGTAGCATTTGTCAGATTCCTCCTCTGTGAAGTTACTTTTTCCCTCCTTTCCGTACTGTACTCTGGAGAGAAATCACTATGCACACTTAGGAGTTATGCTCGCCCTCCTTGATGGCAGGTTATCTACATAAATTATTTAAAATTCTGCTGCACAGGAGATTTGTCTATTCTCCCCATTTATTTATTTATTCAGTCATTTATTTGTATCAGTAAGGGCTTATTGATATTTTATTCTTTCAGTTGTAATCCAATACTACTTTAACGCACAGATCAAAAAAATAGTTTTGGCCATTGGGAGCTCTTTGAGTTAGTTCCTGTGCTCCTTTGACGAATCCTTATCAATATGGGGTTTGCTTGTTTTTTTGTTTGTTTGGTTTTATTTTTTTTTTAGCACTTCCTTATTTTCTGACATGACAAGATCCTCTGGCCTCATCTTGTATATTTCCTACCCCAGTCTCAGAATCAGCCTTTTCTCCAAGGAACCCTGGTTTCTTTTATTGGAGAATGGTGTTAGAAATCAAGATCTGGGCCGGGCATCATGGCTCACACCTGTAATCCCAACTCTTTGGAGGCAGAGGTGGGAGGATTGCTTGAGGTCAGGAGTTCGAGACCAGCCTGAGCAAGAGCGAGACCGCCCCCCATCTTTACTAAAAATAGAAAAAATTAGCCAGGCATGGTGGTGCACATGTGTAGTCACAGCTATCTGGGAGGCTGAGGCAGGAGGATCGCTTGAGCCCAGGAGTTTGAGGTTGCTGTGAGGTAGGCTGACACCAGGGTACTCTAGAATGAGATTCTGTCAAAAAAGAAAAAAGATTTACATGTGAACTTACAATCATATTTTTATAGTTTTGGAATTGGTCTGGTTCCATGTTGGTTGTTATTAATTCTTCTTGTTAACTTTTTAACCCCATCTTGTTTTTCTTCCCTTCCTTTGTTCCTTTCTTCTTTTTCTCCTTTTTTTTGTCTTTGCTGTTTCTTTTTTGGCTTTTTGTTATCTTTTTTCTTAATTTTTCCCTATGCTTTGCTATAATTCCCTATATCTGATTACTGTTTTTAAGATACTTACCTCATATTGTGATTCTCTAAACCTTTATTATTAGTATAAAATATTTTTTCTATTTTAGTATGTGCAAATAGTTAGGCAACTAATGGAATAGACACTATAATAAAAGCAAATTTCCACTGTATGAATGACTGCCCATGATTCATTATAAATAGCTTAAATAATAGCTCAGAAATGTGAAATGCATCATGATTATTTATGCTAACCAAATAGCATAGTCATATTTGAATAAGGGAACTATCCTTTCACATAATTTTCTTAAAACATATAATCATCCATCATGCATGGCTTCATATCTAAAGACAGATTTTTAACACGAAATATCTAGTTAAGCCAGTATATCATTTTATGTATTTATTTATATTTATACCGTTTTTCATCAAAGATAGAATGGCTCAACTCTTAGGAGTCCTTCCTTTATTGAAACCCCACTCTCAGCTTTTTATTGTTAGCTTTTTTACTGCCTTGAATATAATATTTGTATATGAATTAGATTAACTTTCTACCAGCTGATTTAGAATACTCATTGGGCCTAGTAAACATGTTCACTATAGCATGCATGGTGTGTTGTATTTGTTTGTTTGTTTTTCTCCTAACCTTAAACTCTTCGAGGTGCAGATGATGTCTTAAGGCATCTAGCATCTACTTGTTGAGTGAATAAAGTGTTGAAACATAAGATTTCCAAGTACAAGGACTGTACCTTACATATCCTTATAGCCCCTGCCTGTGACCTGCATTTGTTGATTCTCTATAAATATTTGTTACATTGAGTTTAACTGAATTAATAAATAGAGAAGATTTTTGTTTTTCAATAACCTTCATTGGTTGTTTGGGCAATGTACCAGGAGACATCTCCAAGTTAGGTGTTCATTTCGTCTGTGACATATTGCATCTCCTTCTTTGTGATTTTGTGATCTATTTCATTTATTATATGCTTGTAGAAGTTATGCACTTAAAGAATTTATAATCTTTTAAACTTTTTTTAAATTCAGCACTTTGCAAACTTATTTCACCTGGACTCTTTAATGCAACACAAAGCCTGACTCATAGAAGGCTCTTAGTAAATTTACTTGTTCCATGAATGAGTGAATAAACTGTGGATGCCTTGGATGGATCTTCTTTACAATATGTACTTTTGGAAATGCTTTACTGCACAAATGCTGAGACCAATGTGTCAGAAAGGGATCCTAGTTTCTGTATGATCCTATACTCCTAGAGGAATTTCTGCTCTATGTCTCCAGAAAGAGGAATGCTTTATTTTCTCCTTTCCACCCTCCCAGACTACTTATGCCCTTATACATACAACATCCATCGTGACAATTTCTTATTAGAAAACAGGCTGTGCATGTGCTACTGCCAGGATTGAGCCCAGATCTGTCTGACTGCAGATCTAAGCTCTTCACTGCTCAGTCTTAGAGCAAGGGTGAGTGAGCAGAGATTGCGTGACTGGTTGACTACTTTGGTTCATGTCAAGAACCCATTAACCAAATGGCATAGGCTTGGCATATCCTGTCCTTGAGAATTCATTATAGTAAATCGTATCTACAGCCAGTTGATAGTGTGGTGTATCTTGCAGATGTGGATGTTGTTAATCCTGATGAAAAGTCGATCATGACCTATGTGGCACAGTTTCTGCAGTATTCCAAGGATGCAGTTGGGACTGGAGATAAGGCTCAGGTATGTCTTCAAAAGTACGAATCAAACTCATTTTTGTTGTATCCTCATATGGGTTTAATTTTAAAAATTGAGATGTAACTTGCATACAGAACTTACATGTACTGCTCAATGAGTTTTGACGAAGTGCACACCCGTGAAAACCCTAGTCAATCATGATGTAAAACATTTTCCAGAATGTTCCACTGTGCCTCTTTTCTGTCTCTGCTCCCCACTTCAGGCAACCAGTATTCTAATTTCTTTCACTGTGGTTGAATGTTGCCTGTTTTTAAAAAATTTTTAAGTTAAAAGGCATAATTTATTAAAATTTGCTGAATTATCTAAAACAACTTTTAGATAGGAACTATATAGGACAAATTAAGTTAAGCTGGCTTTTAAAAAATTGTAGAGGTGTCAAATTTTTGTCTATTGTAATTTTTCTTACCTTTGTTAAGATATAATTTACATACCGTAAAATTCAGCTATTTAAAGTATGCAATTCAGTGGGTTTTAGTATATTTACACGATTGTGCAGCCACAGTCATCTCATTTTAGGACATTTCCATTTTTCCTCTTCTTTAGCTTCGTATAAATGGAATTATGTGATTCATACAAATGGAATTGTGTGATTCATGTAAAGGGAGGCGTTGTGTTCTGTTGATCCCTGTTTGTTGAGATACTCTTGATTTACTACTGGATTGCCATTTGATTATTCAATTTTTCCCTTTTGTTTCAGTCAATTATACAAAATATTGTGGGTGAAAATTTCACAAAAGTCTCTGAGCTGAGAAGAAACTCTCATTCTGCTTCCATGAAGATAAATACGTGCTGTGAATTTAGTAGAATGTTTATGAATAATTTAAAATTTATTTCAAACTCCTTTGTCAGGCTTGTTTACATGCATTTTATTTGACAAATTGGGCCTATGTTTTTCCAGCTGTTATGTTTGAGGCAATAAGCCAGATTGTTGCTGACTCTGGAAGAGAGACTCCAGTGGAGATTCAGGCTTAGAATTCAGTTCACCTATTTCTCACCTGCTGAGGAGCTACTCTTTTATAATTAATTTTCACATTAGAAAATAAAATTAAAAATTCAACTGTCCATGAAATTGGATGGAAAAATATTAGAAACACTTGTGCTTAATGAAAAAAAAAAGGAAATGAAGGTTAAAGAAGAGTGGAAATAAGATGTCACTTCTGCTTTATCCTGTAGCAGTGAAATCTGCTTCCACATGTAAGCAAGCTCACCGCCTAAGCAAGCACCTAAGAAAAAAAATAATCATTGCTCACTTCTGTAGGATAGCATAGCCAAAACCTTTAGTAGTGATATTTTTAGGATCTTTAAAATATTCAAGATTTTTTTTTTTTTGAGACAGATTCTCACTGTGTTGCCCGGGCTAGAGTGAGTGCCGTGACATCAACCTAGCTCACAGCAACCTCAAACTCCTGGGCTCAAGCGATCCTACTGCCTCAGCCTCCCAAGTAGCTGGGACGACAGGCATGTGCCACCATGCCCGGCTAATTTTTTCTATATATTTTTAGTTGTCCGATTAATGTCTTTCTATTTTTAGTAGAGACGGGGTCTCGCTCTTGCTCAGGCTGGTCTCGAACTCCTGAGCTCAAACAATCCGCCCGCCTCGGCCTCCCAAAGTGCTAGGATTACAGGCATGAGCCACCGCGCCTGGCCTACAAGATATTTTTGATGCCAGTGTTTTTGCTAGGTGCGAACAATCTCTTGCATTACCCCATATTTACATTTATTAGAAGGCAGTCATCTGAAATGCCTACTATAAAGAAGCGATTTAGAATAATGTTCTTTAAAACTGAGAATAATGGAAATGGATAAACCAAAAACAGGGAGAGGAGGTTGCTCGCCCTTTTCTTTAGCACATCGTTATGTTTAGATGCAAATTTCAATTGGTTTTAAAATTTAAGGTATTATGTGAATAAGGAAAATTAGTCTTTGATATAATGAATCGTTAGTGTGTAAGAATAGCATTATTTTGCTGACATTTTGAGTTGTTTATTGTTAAAAAAATCAAGTCTATTTAGAATAGAGTTTAAATGTGTATGTGTGTGCATGTGTGAATTACAGGGAAAGGTGAAAGATGCTATGGTCTGGTTAACTCTGCAAGAGGAGAAACTACAGAAAGTGTTAAAGGATTCAGAAAATGAGACCTACTTTAAAAAGTATCAGGTAAGTATGACTACAAACAGCTATTTGTAATTTACTTTTTAAAAAAATGTGTGCAAATATATATACACACACATATTTTATTTATATGTGTGTGTGTGTGTGTGTGTGTGTGTGTATGTAAAATTTCAATAGATTAGGGACCATAAGTTTTTTTGTTACATGGATGAATTGTGTAATGCTGAAGTCAGGGCTTTCAGTGTACCTGTCACCAGAATAGTCTACGTTGTACCCCACAGGCAGACTTTTGTCTTTCACCCCCTCTCACCCTCCCCCACTCACAGTTTTCTTTTTTAGGGAAAAGTAGTAAGTCTGTTTTTAGAAAATTCTTTTAGAGTTAATTATTTAAATATTAAATTAACTGCAGGTTTTAAGGCTGAATTCTAAAACCGTTCTTCTGAAACTTTTTCTTTTTTTTGGGACAGAGCCTTACTTTGTCTCCCTGGCTAGAGTGCCATGGCGTCGTCATAGCTCACTGCAGCCTCAAACTCCTGGGCTCAAGCGATCCTTCTGCCCCAGCCTCCTGAGTAGCTGGGGCTACAGGTGTGAGCTACTGTGCTCAGCCTTTTAAAACTTTAATGTGCAGATGAGTCATTGGGTAATCTTGTTAAAATGTAGTCTGATTCAGTAGTTCTGGGGCATGGCCTGAGATTCTGCATTTCTAACAAGGTCCCAAGTGATATTGATGCTGCTGGTCCCCTTGGAGTACTTTGAACAGCATGGTTCTAGAGCAGGGGTTGGTAAACTGTGGCCCGTGGGCCCTGACACCTGTTTTTGTAAATAAAATGTTATTGGAACAGAGCTGTGCCCATTTACATGTTGTCTGCAGCTACTTTCATACTACAATGCCAGATCTGAGTAGTTGAAATAGAGACTGTATAGTCATTAAAGCCTAAGATAGTTCTTCTCTTGCCCCTTTCAGTAAAAGTTCTCCAATCCCTAGCTTAGAGCAGAACATGCTTTTCAGAATGAATATTGAATGAAAGAAAAATCAGGAAATCAGGAATGAGTCTGATTATCCCAAAAGTACAGTACAGGGCCTCAACCAAGGAGTTCTTTGGGGGAATAAAGACAACTGTTATTATCGCCATATATAGAACATATGCTATGTAATAGACACTTTGCTGATAAACACTTTATATGTTAAAACATCTTGGCTCGGCGTGGTGGCTCATGCCTGTAATCCTAGCACTCTGGAAGGCTGAGGCGGATGGATAGCTCAAGGTCAGGAGTTCGAGACCAGCCTGAGCAAGAGCGAGACCCCATCTCTACCAAAAAATAGAAAGAAATGATCTGGACAACTAAAAATATATATATATAGAAAAAATTAGCCAGGCATGGTGGCACATGCCTGTAGTCCCAGCTACTCAGGAGGCTGAGACAGAAGGATCGCTTGAGCCCAGGAGTTTGAGGTTGCTGTGAGCTAGGCTGACACCACGGCACTCACTCTAGCCAGGGCAACAAAGCAAGACTGTCTCAAAAAAAAAAAACATCTTGCTGAGTTTGGTATTGTTATTCTAGTTTTGCAAGTGAAGACAATGAGGCTTAGTGCGACTAAGGGATTTATCTAAAGTCATGTACCTACTGAAAGGTAGAGGTGGGATTTGAATAGAAGTCTAGCTTCAAAGCCCTAGCTCTATTTATATCCTGATGCTTCTCCAGGATAAGTAGTTATTCCTTGTAGAATCTTGAAAGAGACTAACAGGAGACAACCCATCGTTTATGCACTTCTGTGCTTCTCACCAGTTCTCTGTCGTGAATAAGCTAGAGATACTGTCTTGTGCCTACACAGCTCTTAGCACCTCTAGGCCTCCATCTCCCTGTTGAGTGAGGGGGTGAGATGAGTCCAGCTTTCCAACTCTAGCACTCACTGGATCGTGTGACTTGTGGGCCATCCCTTCCTTTTTGGTTTGGAGCCGTGGGGAAGAAAGGGATCAGACATTCTCGTCTTCCTTTGGTCTGAACTGCATAGGCTTCCTCTGCTTCTTCTCCCTTAGCTCCTGTCTGATTTTTTTTATTGACAAGATGCTCAGTAGAACAATGGAAGTGCATTGTTCTCACATCAGTCTTTGATTTAATAAAGTATCACAGATTCATGTTTCTTAAATAGAAGACTTTATTAAGTTATCATCAGAAAGAATTAAATTAATTATCCCTTGGTTTGCTCATAAAATTTAATTTAAAATGCTGTCAGTAATTATGGATAATGTTTGAAATAATATTTATGAAATTGATAACTCTCAAATACCAATATTTCACATAAATATGAACCAAGAAAAGCTTTGTTTATTAAATTTTTGAGGGTGGAGACAGTATTTTTTAAAAGTTTGTATAAATTGAATTCGGAAGAATTGGCTCAAGCTCAGTTAATCATAAACACTTTGAAAATCGTTTATACATGATGACTGCTGTCATAGAATTTTCACATCCATTCATTCTTACTTTGTTGTGAACACATATTTGGGAAGGACAAACAAACTCATATTTTCCATGTGGCTTCATGCTCTGTCCTTTATAGCCAGGTGGCTTCACTGCTCCATTCCAGTAGAAATCCAATGATACCTACATGACACACAGCTGAGCAAGACCCGTGTCATTATGCTGGCACCCAGGTTCTCATAGTGCACTCAAGAAAGAGACCAGATCAGAGAAAGGATACTGGATCCAGGGGATTTTACCTTTAAGTGAAAAACTTAAATATAACCTATAGTGATAGACCTCAAAATGTATAACAGATTACCTTTTATAAATGGAATTAAATATTTCAGTCTTTAAAATACTCTTCTAATTATAGAGCCTGCTGTCCTTTATGGAGTCATTTGATGAAGAAAAGAAATTTTTTTTGGATGTTCTGTCGATGAAAAGGAATCCGGATAAGCTGGATGAAGATCAGTTACAGCTGAGAGAAGCCTGGGATAGCCTCGAGTATCAGGTTACCATTATGTTTATTTTCAATGTTCTTCTTTGTTTTGTTAGATGAAGACCCATCAAGTGGTGATGCCCGTTTCATTGTCAGCTCCTGTTCTGATCACAGCTTCGAAACTGACTCTTGTAACAGATAAGAGCTGTCTGTGACAGGTCCCCAACAATGTGGAAGTCAAGGAAGAAGATATTGTCTGTATAGTTCAGACTGTTCCAGGCCACAGAGACCTGGCCTAATTTTTCCAAATATGAAAAAATTACCCAAAATAATGAGAGAAACCATAAAAAGAACAATTTTGCAAAATTAGGTGGTGCAAATCTATAGTAGCCTGGAAAATCCTTCCTTAGTGAGGTAGACTGCAGCTCATTTTCTTGGTGTGTCAAAATGAGACATGCTGATTTTAAAGTTATCACGTACATAGAAAATTAATATCATCTAGACAATTTCTGGTTCAATAGTTTGAGAACAGAGATGTCTCAAAGCATCATAATAGTAAATGACTTCATTTTTTTTGCCATAGAAAATGTCAACATTATGTTATTTTGACCTGATAAGATCTTATATAAATTTTCAGCCAAATTGAAAAGTAATTGTCTAAGGAAGGAAGTGTGGAACCAGTTTTCTATGTTAAGAGAGAAAGGAGAGGAATGAAAGGTAAACATTGCCTTCTGTTTGCCCTCTTCTGACTGCTACATGAATACTGAGTGCAGCCCTGTGTCAGAAAGCACTGGGTTGGTTTCATTTAAAATACATACAGCTTTCTTTTGGTTGTGCGAAGAATAATAGTTGGATTAGAGGTGTTGTTCTTAGCCTCTTTAACTCAATCCTTTATCAATTTTCTGGCTTATTTTTTATTTTGTGGCAAATGTACAAATGATTAGATAATAAAAGCAAATGCTGACATGTTTATATTAAATTTCACAATAACGAAAACATTTTTTCATTCTTTTTCCAACTGGAGACTTAATGGCATATAGTTCATGATTTAAGATTGTAGAATTATCTTTACCACATGCCTTTTGAGAAAATAAACTTGCAAGGCAAGAAAAGCAAAACAAAATGGAAAAACGGTAATATTTAATGCTTCTATTTTATGAATAATTCCATTTGACTCCCTTAAAGGAGCCCAGCTTTGTCCTCATTTTGTATACTCTAGGTAGTTGGTAAATGTCTTTTGGATATTTACTTTGCATGTAACAAGCATCCAATAAATGTTTTTCAATGAATTAGTGGTGAATTAAGTATCTCATATAATATACAGATTTTGCATACTCTTTCCCTTATTTGAAAACAATTTAAGAATAGTAACAGTTCATTTAGTAGAACTAGGTAACAGAAAGAAAATGTAGACTTAAGACCAATACTTTCACTAAAGAAAGTTATTTGAGTAAAACATTTTGATTTGTGCTTGATTTTCTTAGGGCTGTTTTTGGAATGAGAATACCACAAAAGTGATAAAAGAGTTATGTGAGTTTGGGTAAAAAGTCACATTCTTAATGGAGTTGTCAGAGAAGGAGGTGGCCTTGGAGCTGGAATTTTACTTTGCCTAAGATTTCCAGACATTGGCTAGACAATAATCCAAGCACTTTGGGAAGCTGATGTGGGAGGGTCATTTGAGGCCGGGAGTTCGAATTTAGCATGGACAAATAATTAGATGTAATAAAAGCAAATGCTGAGTTGTTTATATTAAAGTTCACAATAATGAAAACATTTTGCCCTTCTCTACAAAATATTGAAAAACTAGCCAGTCATGGTAGTGCATGGCTGTAGTTCCAGCTACTTGATAGGCTAAGGTAGGAGAATCCCTTGTGCCCAGGAGCTCAAGGCTGCAGTGAGCTATGATCATGCCACTGCACTCCAGCCTGGGTGACAGAGTGAGAGTGAGACCTTGTCTCAAAAAAAAAAAAAAAAAAAAAGAGAATTCTAGACATCAGTCTAGAGTTGGTGTTCTTCTGAGGTCCTCCGCAAGCTCCTCTGCCTGGCTTGGTTATGTCACTACAACAATTTACTGTAACTGTGTTCTTGTCTGCTTCTTTGGATAGGTAGTTGAGGCAAGAGCTGTGGCTTTTATTTGTCTGGTTGACACTCTGATGTAGGGTTTTGTTTAAACTTATTCTTCCATTTGTACATTGTACCTGGGTCTGGGCAAGGCCCTGCTCTTGTTTTTATTCATTTACTTTTAGTGTGTGTTTATTTCCTTTTATACCCATACCTTTTTTCCATTCCCCTTTTTCCTTAGGCCACTATTTTGATATGTTTAATATGTACCTTTTTGTTTTATATGTTTTTGCAAAATACACATTGAATTTATATGTATGTGTATTTTTAAGTTGTGTAAATTGAGGTTATATGTTTCTTACTTTTATTTTTGAGCACAATGGATTTAAGGTGCTTCTGTGTCACCACGTGTACCTCTAATCTACTCCTAACTGCTGCACAGTATTGTATGGTGGGCGACTGCCACATGTCCCCTCTGCACTCCAGAAGCCTCCTGTATCTTTACCCTCAGTTCTTAGCATAATTGATTATTCGTAAATATTTGCTCAATGAATGAATGAATGATTGGTGAGTGAATTTTTTTTAAAAGTCCCCATACTTGACAAAAGAGTGGGTGAGTTTTGATGATGCTTAGGAGCGGGGGAAATCCAGATAGAGGGGGCAGCAATAGCAAGGACATGAGAGTACAGAGCGTTTGGAGAAACAAGTAGTCATACATCCATGTGTGCGTGTAGGGAGTGGTGGGAGGCTGAGGAAGGAGGCGGTGTGCCTGCATTGAGGGGGGCTGTGGTGAAGGACAGATATTCAGGAGATATGGTGGAGATATCTCATGTGAATATATGGTTAGGGCTAGTGAGGAATGTAGTCTATAAATCTGTGTGGGAGGTGTAGTTGTAAAGTCAGAGAACACAGGACACAACACACAGCTTTCAAATGGTGGTCTTTCGATAGTCCATCCTTGCTTAGATGGGTACTTTAAGTATTTCAAATCTCCCCCTCATACCTTCTCATGAATTTATCAAAACATTTGTTTTTTCTTATGCTCTCTGTTCCTACGGCTTTTGAACAAAGTGTGTTCCTGATCAGCAAGTAGCTAAATGATATTTAAAGAAGTTTATCCCTTGATAAAGATTTCCTTGACGGATGGATCACATTTATCAGTCTTGGCTTTCAGAGAAAATGTATAGAATTAAACATACTGTATGTGAAGAAATAAACTAGAAAAGTTCTACTACTGAGGGACACCTTCCTTTCTTTCAGATTAATGTGTGGAAAACACAGCTGAATTACGCCTTGCCCCTCCCCCTCAAGGAGATCGAAGCGTGGCTGCAGGAGGTAGAGCAGCTCACAGCTGAAGATTTGCCAGCCTCCTGGGATTACTCCGAAGCTATGACTCTGACACAAAAGAAAATTACTCTATTCAAGGTTGGAAAAGAAAAAGATGTGGAATAATCTATACTTTGTTAGTGATTATTATTATTATTATTTTTTTAGACAGAATGTCACTCTGTTGCCTGGGCTAGAGTGCCATGGCGTCAGCCTAGCTCACAGCAACCTCAAACTCCTGGCCTCAAGCAATCCTCCTGCCTCAGCCTCCTGAGTAGCTGGGGCTACAGGCATGTGCCACCATGCCCAGCTAATTTTTTCTGTATATTTTTAGTTGTCCCTCTAATTTCTTTCTATTTTTTAATAGAGACGGGGGTCTCACTCTTGCTCAGGCTGGTCTCGAACTCCTGACCTTGAGCAATCCTCCCGCCTCGGCCTCCCAGAGTGCTAGGATTATCAGCGTGAGCCACCACGCCCGGCCTGTTAGGGATTATTCTTGAGGAAGACTTCGTCCTAGAGAGAAGAGAAGAAAATATTGTGGGTATCTGAGAATGATTTAGAATGATTCCCCTGGAAATTTTGGGGACTTGGAAGATACCGTCACATTCATGACCCGTAGTGCTAGTTTCAGGTTGAGACAATGAGAATGAGTACAAATAGAGTTCTAAAGCAACTTTAAAGTCTGACAAAAAAGAAAAAGGCCGGATGGTGCGGGGGAGACTAGTGTAAAATATGGAAGATTGGGTTCTCACTAAAATGGCATAAAGGAATTTGATATGGGTGCTTTATAGCATTTGAGCCCACAGAGGAATGGAAAATACACCAGAAAACAAAAGATTTTGATAATGGGTTTTGCAAAGAAATCGCAGTCTGCTTCTCTGTAAAATGTTTCAATTTAAAACATTTATGATGAAAATACTTATTCACAAAATCTTAGTTAAAAGAAGGGGGCTTTAGGATTTTTTTGAAAAAAGAGTTAATGCAAATGAGATTAATAAACCCTCAATTATAGTTGACAACAAATCTGGTTTATGTTATGCTAAATTTCTTTTCAGAATCTGATGGATAGATTTGACTGTTATTTGAACATTCTCCTTACATTTGAAAATAGAGATGAAAAACATTTGCCATTGGTACCACCTAACAAATTGGAGGAAATGAAAAGACGGTTTGTAACACTACCATTTCACAACTGCTGGTACTGTTCATGTTTGTGCACTAACATTGTGCTACAGGGACCACAAAATACAGACTTTTAGATAATTTCTGACAAGTATTCTCCTTTAAGTCTTGATAACAATATCTTCATGTTTTATGTAATAATATCATTATTTCATGCTTAACATACTTCCTTTTTTATTGAATGGTAGAATATGGTGAAGGGAAAAGTTCTGGATTTAAAGTTAGAAACTGAGCTCTGTGTCTTGGTTTTGGCTAAGTTACTCTCTTTTTGAGCATGTTTCCTCATTTGTAAATGTAGGGTAATGATAATTATCCGGTACATGTCTTAGAAGGATACTGGATCAACTGAGGGGTAGTGTATGAAAGCACTTTATAAACTGTAAAATACTGTAAATGTAGAAATTATTTAATTGATGGTTATCCTCATTATCTTTTCTCATTACTCCTAAGTAATTTATTAGAATAAGAAGAGGGTGTTAGCCTTAATAATGAAAACCGTGTTAATATATATACTTGTAAACTATAGTTTTATTAGGTTATACAGAAGTTTTCAATTTTAGTAAACTATTTTGTATATCAGTGTTTTATTACAAGATTTCTCAATAGGGGAATAGTTTCTTCAGAAAATGTTCTGTTTTGATGTTTTTACCTTAGCAATGGTTGTTTTATATCTAGCCACAATATTTATTATACACTGTTTAGGAAAAAAAGAAGGCTTGAGGATACTTCTGAATTCCATGTGTTTAAAAGAAAAAGTTGAAGCCCCCGATTTTTTAAATGCTGAACAGATTCTTCATGTTTGGTCAATAATATTAAGTTAAATTTTAAACCTGCATGTTGTTTTCCAGAATCAACAACATTTCGGGGGAAAAATTCATTCTACTTCTAGAATTTCATTACTATAAGTTCTCAGTGCTTGGTTTGCTAGATGAAGTGAAATCAAAATTGGACATTTGGAACATTAAATACGGGAACAAAGACTCTGTGGAATTACTGCTGAAAGACTGGCATGTAAGCTGTTTTATTTCGTGTCTTAGGCAATTATTTTTCATGTCTGGGAGCTACATTTGCATTTTCCCTTGGTGCGATTTCCCATTAACTCTTCAAGTTTTAAAGATGTGGTTTCTTGGTAGCTTTCATTAGCTTAAATATTGTCTGAAGAAGAGAATTACAGGTAGTCAAATTGCAGTAAGAAAGAGAAAACAGCATTTTTTACCACCCCAGGAGAGATTAAGAGTTAACCAGGCTGATTAATTAATTTCCTCTTTTTGGAAATGGGGGGGGGGGGGAAGAAAAATCAAAGATTGTAAATCTCATTGCAAAAATTTAAAAGCACAATAGAGAAATTTATTTACAATTTATGATTTAAATACTCTATGTTTCCAAATAGGAAGCATAAATGTAATTCTAAACTAGACTAGATTTTCAATGTTTTTAGTTCTTTTGCCATCTTTGCATGTTCATTTTTGTATTTAAAGAATCATATTATTGGCACATATAAATATACAATAAATAAGAGTTTTGAATTAGCTCAGTATTTTTCCACGGCAGAATTTGGTTAATAGTAGTTTCTGAAATGTTTTTGTGTGATAGATGATATCTGTTTATAACATACTTTAATATATCTAATAAAATTTACTCAATATTAATAAAACACATGAAATAAGAGCAACTGATACAATTATGCAATATTAATATGTAAAGTAGGAGATTTTGAAATTGCTATAAATACTTGCCTTTTCCCACAAGAGGAAAGCCATTGTAGAACCATATCACCACGTTAAGACAAACTTTGTCAGGTGTCATACCTATTTGGTGTTCTTACTCAGATCTCCTAGATGTTGACTATCCTTCTTCATGGACTGCTCTTCCCCTCTTCCTACCAGATATGTAGTATTAAGTGTCCTAAGGACATTTTGGTAACTAAGTGTTTCTTTAATATCTATGTCACTATCTGGATTTCTTGGTACATTTTTGAAAGTAAAAACTATCAATATTTTTTTCCTCCCCCCCGCAACCAGGAATTTATTGAAGAAAAAGAGTTCCTAGTTCAACTTGATACTTCTTTTCAAAAATGTGAAGAAATTTATAAGAATTTGGGTAAAGTAGTTCAGTTACTTTTTGATGGAATGACCATCACTTATAAATGACATTTTATCTGTTTTGCTTTCTTTATTCTTTAATCTTTTAGAAATTAGTTTTATATGCATGTTTTCCTTGGAAAATTCTTGCCTTCACATTTAATATTGTCAGAGTACATATTATTTTGCCTCTGTCAATTAATATGCAAATATTTTTAACAGTATTTCATTAGTAAGAAACCATTTTTCTAAGATTACTTTCTTGTTTTGTTAATATTGTAGCTGGAGAATGTCAGAATATTAGGAAACAATATATGATGGTGAAATATAATGTTTGTATGTATAGAAAAAATATATACAATGCGAAGACCACTCTACAAGAAGTTCTGACTTGTTGGGCTGCTTATGTGGAAAACCTTCGCTTACTAAAGGCTTGTTTTGAGGAGACAAAGAAGGAACAAATTAAAGAGGTATTTGCAGTCTAATGATACCTGCTCAATTTTACTTTTTAATTTTTTTTTTTTTTTGAGACAGAGTCTCACTCTGTTGCCCAAGCTAGAGTGCCGTGGCGTCATCCTAGCTCACAACAACCTCAAACTCCTGGGCTCAAGCAATCCTCCTGCCTCAGCCTCCCGAGTAGCTGGGACTACAGGCATGCGCCACCATGCCCGGCTAATTTTTTCTATACATTTTTAGTTGTCCAATTAATTTCTTTCTATTTTTAGTAGAGATGGGGTCTGGCTCTTGCTCAGGCTGGTTTCGAACTCCTGAGCTCAAGCAATCTTCCCGTCTCGGCCTCCCAGAGAGCTAGGATTACAGGCGTGAGCCACCGCGCCCGGCCTACTTTTTAATTTTGATTTGTTTAGGGACCCTCATTTTCAATCCAAAGATGAGAGTCCAGAGAAGAGTAAGCATGTGTTTTGGAAAATTCTCTAAAGTCTTGGAAAGAGTTTAGCTTCTTCCGCATGTAATTGCCAAAAGGAAGTTTTCTCCACATGAGTTTTATACATGCATACATACACACACACACACACAGATCTTTATTGAGCTATAATTTATATACTTGGTATAGCATTTGGGAGATATATGGCTAAGCTTTTTGGAGAGGAAATAAAAGACATATTAGTCAAAGTTCATGTAGGGTGAAAAAAAAGTAAAAGACATAATGGACTGAGTAGCTTATAGACCCATTTAAAATAAACTACTGTCTGAAAAGTTTTATTTTTCCATTTGGTTGAAACCTTTCAGCTCTAAAATCTTCCTGAGTTTCTAGAGGAGGAAAATCAAAATACCTTAGGCTTATGTGGAGAGATGTAGAAGAAATGTTAATGTAATTCATTATTTTTTCATTTGTTGTTCGTATAATAATCTGTTTTATGATTATCTGAGGTAGATTTTCTTTGTTTTTCTCTGTTGCAAATGGATGTAGATAGCCTTTTAGAATGGAAACTAAAATGACTCAACAGAAAATAGGTTATTTGAATGAAAGTAAAATTTGTATGAAGTGTATGAGTGCACAAAAAGAGGATTTTAAGGGTTAGTGAGTCATTACTGCTCTTTAGCACTTATATTGATGCTAGAAATTCAGGTCTTAGGCTTCTGACAGTTCTTTCGTCTTTAAAGGACTTCTATTAAAATATAAGTAACTCTGAGAAAAATAACACTCTAAGCCTGCAATTCCCAAACTCTGCTGAGATGCCATGGGCTACCAAAGAGAACTAAGAGAACTTACAGGATACTCTAAATTTTGAGAGAGACACGGCAACATCGATATCTTGGATACCATGCTACTACTGAGTTGTTGACCTGACTGCTTAAAAATGGAAACTATTAGATAATTCTTTTGGCCTAGGGACTTTGTGAAAAAAATTACTGACACATTAAGGGTGCCATAAACTGAACAGGTTTGAAAACCTCTGCCATAAATTCGTCAGCCACTTAGAAAGATAGATCAATTGCTTTCCAAAAGTCCAGGACCAGGAATAATGATAGACAGGTGGCACTTGCCATTTAGTGATTTGGGACGAAGAGCTAGACCAATAGGAATCGTAGAAGCCTAAGAGGAAAGTCAGAGTCTCTGTAAAAACTGTCACACTCGCTTTCGCTTCGAACTAGCCTTGGTAGATATCTATTACAGATAATAGAAAGACAAATATTATGTCGTTAAAATATTATATTGATTATGTATTATGTAGGTTCCCTTTGAGACACTATCCCAATGGAATCTAGAACATACGACTTTAAATGAAGCAGGAAATTTCCTAATTGAAGTTAGCAATGATGCAGTTGGATCTTCTATTTCTAAAGAACTGAGAAGACTGAATAAAAGATGGAGAAAGCTTATTTCAAAAACTCAGCTTGTAAGTTCTTTTGATGGTTACAGCTTTATTTAGATGTAATTCATATACCATATAATTCATTCATTTTAAGTGTATAACTCATTGGTTTTTAGCATATTCACAGAGTTGTGCGGCCATCGCCACAATCAATTTCAGAATGTTTTCATCACTTTATAAAGAAACCTAGTACCCATCAGCAGTTACTCCCCATTTCTTCCCAAACCCTAGCCCTAGGCAACCACTAATCCACTTTCTGTTTCTTAGATTTGCCTATTTTAGACATTTCATATAATGGAATTATACAATATGTGGTCTGTTGTGACTGGCTTATTTCACTTTGCATGATGTTTTTAAAGTTCATCCACATTATAGTACTTAATTCCTTCTTATTGATGGATGATAGTCAACCATTCAGCTGTTGAATAATAGTCATCCATTCAACAGCTGATGCACATTTGAGTTCTTTCCACTTTTCTGGCTATTATGAACAATGCAGCTATGAACATTTGTGTATAAGTTTTTGTGTAGACATACATTTTCATTTCTCTTGTAATTAAGCTGTAAGACAGCTTTATAATAAACAGCTTTCTTGTTGAAATTTATTTACCATTGAAGAATAATATAAGCATTGTTTTACCTACTAGATTTCAAGCTCCTTGAGAACATACACTGAGCCTTATTTATCTCTGTATTTAGCACAAAGCCTCATAAAAGCAGACTTTTAATAAATACCTTTTGAACTAAATTATTCTATTTCTTATTTATTTATTTATTTATGTATGTATGTATGTATGTATGTATGTATTTATAGACAGGATCTCACTCTGTTATGCAGGCTAGAGTGCAATGGCATCATCATAGCTCTCTGTAAGTTCAAACTCCTGGGCTCAAGTGATCCTTCTGCTTCAGTCTCCTGAGTAGCTACAAGCTTGTGCCACATGCCTGGCTCGTTTTTTTACTTTTTGTAGAGACAGAGTTGGACTATGTTTCTCAGGCTAGTTTGGAACCCCTGGCCTCAAATGATCCTCCTGTTTTAGCCTCCCAAAGTGCTAAGATTACTGGCGTGAGCCAGTGCGCCCAGCCTTTTCCTTATTCTTAAAGATTTGAGACTTAAGTGTTTTATTGGAAATGCCCATATTTTATAACATTGGTGCTAGATGATAAATCCTAAATATATATTTGAATATATTATATGCACTTACTGTTTATAATATATATTAGCATAAAAATAAAAATGAGCATTAAATTTCAGGAAATTAATTTTTTACAGGAAATGAAACTACCACTTGTAAAAAAACAAGATCAGCCCATTTTTGACAATTCTGGAAATATTGTATCTAAAGAAGAAAAACCAACTGTTGACTTTTTGGTAGATATGTCAATAGAACTTCCTGAATATCACTATCAGAATATAAAGGTAAAATAGTCATACTTTGTATATTTCATTTGCATATAGAAATAATTTAACTTTGCTATTAAAAAAATCATATTGTTGAGACAATGGTAAATGTGTGGATTACTAGATAACATTTAAAGTGTGATCATTTTCTAGGCAAACACTTAAGTGGTTCCCCACATTAAGTGATCTTTAGCACGAAAGTCTACTTACTTCACTTACTGTCTCTTCCCCCACTGTGGAATTCCACAGACACACAGAAACCGTCATGACTCCTGAGCAGTGTAAATTTGAGTTGATATTTTCTTGAGATTACTTTTGACTAGTGCTCAGAAATTGTCTAACTTTAGGCCAGACCCTGGCCTCTTTGTGTCTCGCTTCTTTTCTGTAAAATGGGGAGAAATATCTTTCTTCATTGTTTTTTTGGGGTAATTTGGAGAATGACTTTAGATTATAGTAAGAATATGTAAAAAGAACAAAAATAAATAAAAATACACTTATAAGACATAATATCTATGGTTTTGTAAATGTGCCTCCTTCAGAATAACAACTTATACAGCTTTACTTAAAGTAATTTTTAACTGGCTTTTGGCGTTTTCCCACCATAGGAATGCCTAGCCTACTCAAGAGAATCTGGAAAGATCTGAATTTATGCAATATGCTTTATAATACTATACTTTTCTGATGCATTTAAAAATGTGATCTGATTTAAAAACAATTTTAAGAATGTATCTGTGTACCCTGTAAATATATGCAATTATAATTGGTCAATATGTAATAACAGAAGAATATATCTATCATGTAAAGCTATATAGTATTACCAACCTATAGAATACCGAGAGATTATTAATGGGAAAAGATACAATTTTGTTGAAATTTGATTCTGAATTTCTTCTTAATATTTTACAACTATTATTACTAATAGCTGTATTTAATTAAATTGTATATGAGTTTTAGAAATGTGTTAAATGTGTTAGATTAAAGATTAGAAAATTAGGATATTGCCTTTATAATCTTCTTACTTATAAAATGGAGATAATATGATGTAACTGGTAGGAATGATATTGTAATTAAGAAAACATGAACAAACCTTTTAACTTATAAAGTGATACATACTATCATAAAGTGTTATCATCGTTGTCCAAAAACTAGATCTTAATATTTAGAATATGTTGATTAGCACTCTTCAGTAAAGAAAAAGGTGCAAGTTTTTGGTATGGAATATTATTTTATAATGTACATGTTGGCATTTTCTTAGTAATAATTTGAATGTTGTAGGCTGGGGAAGAACATGAAAAAGAACATGAAGAATTCATAGGGCAACTAAAAGTTGCTGAAGAGGTTGAAAAACTCATTGGACAAGTAGAAATCTGGGAGGCAGAAACCAAATCTGTTTTGGATCTTCTGAAACATAAAGATGATGTGGATACCTCAATGGAAGAATCTTTGCAGGTATGAGTGTAAAAGTATTTATTAAGAGGGTCTTTTCATGGTTGTGGATTTATGTTTTAAGATCAATAAAAAGTTTTAAAGTAAATAGTAATAAACCTATAGTTTAAATTTTCTTTGTTAGGGGTTTTAAAAAATGCATGGATTTGTCTCCCTGGATCATTTGCTGTGATTTTGCTTGAAGACAGAGCATAAATTAGGAGACTACTTATGATACAAGTATTAAGTTCTGGGACTCATTTTCCCAGCTATAGAATGGGGATTAAAATATTCTCTTACATCAGAGGGCCATGAGGGATGAGTGAGTGAGTTCAATCACATATAGCTCAGTGCAGTGTGAATATAAGAGATTATATAATCTATGCTTTGAAAGTTCATCTACTGATTAAGCTATTTTCCTCTCCTTACTTGATGCTAGGAGGGTGACTAATGTTGTTAGAACTGCTTTCTGTCTTTATTCTCAGGCAATTGACTCATTGAAAGGCAATGAGGCAAGAGTGTGTTTTAATATTACTTCATTCTCTTGGGAAAGGAGTTATCATTGAGCTTTTTACTGAGTTCCAGCTCAGCTATAAAACCTACAGAGCATGTCATAAATTACAACAAGATGGGAAGTTCCTCGAATAAAAGAGCATTTACATAATTTTTCTAAGCCTACTTTTCTGAAAGGTGTACATTTCAGCATTTTGTGTTTTCATTGTTTGTAAGAATGATAGTTTTTATTGCTTTTAAAATATTATATAAATGTATCATGCTATCTGCCAATGCTTTTCTAATTTTATTTTTTATATTTATTTGC